AGTCGATGCACAATGCTGAAGTGGCAGAACCATCTAAAGAGACTTTGAATCCTACATTTATACAAAGTCAGACATAGCAGCCAGACAGCTATTTCTCTATTTGTATACAGTATAAATGTTCTTAGATGTTTTTGAGTCCAGGTATCTATGTGAATATACTGTATATGACAATAAGGATTTTTAGCATTCACAACCAAAAAAAAACCTGAGAATGCCATCTTTTAAATTACCGAATGCAATCTTTCTAATCCTTCTTTAATGGCAATCGCATTTAGCTCAGGTAAAAATCAGTTTGTGGTGCCGTAAAACAAGTATGTTTTTAATATTTAATAAACCCATAAGCCATATGAATAATTCCTAGATATGCAGTTGGAAGATGTGTAGGAAGAGATATGCTTGTCTTCCATTTAGATCCATTAAAAAGCAACTCAAATGAAGGAATATGTCATGGGCTAAATTCGATCAGTGTTTTTGGCTGGATATTGTGTCTTGGACACTACCCAGTTATAGAATTCAGTTTTGGAACAATGTCAGGAGTGGCCTTTGGATAACAGCAGTGAAGTGCAGTTGTTGAGGCTCTTAGACTCATAAGACAGGCTACAAGTTAAAATCATGAATCCGGGATGGGAGAGAGATAGAGTTTTTTGTTATCACCAAGGGGCGCTATTTGTTTTAGCAGCAGACTATATAAAGAGAACCCACAAATAAAAAATACACATGCACATACAAGAATAATTTGATAAGCAAGGTTATAGCCATACAGTAGGTATAAATTAGAACTTAGACCTACAGTATATGTTTTATAATTGGGAAATTTGTATTTGTGTTCTGAGGTGAGTATTTGGTATTTGTAAAACAAAGTGTGTGAAGGGTCTTCTGGAATGGAGAATGCTTTACGAAAAACTCTTGATTGATGTGGGGTAGGCCTTAAAGATCAGCACCAATGAATTTCTGACATAGTTTGATAATACTCTCCAGTGTGTTCTTACTCAGTTTCATATTCCAAAACTAGCAAATCAGGGTAACATTAAAGCAGATTCAATAAAAGGTGATAAAACATGATCAACAATGAATTATCAACCTTAAAATATTTAAGCTTCCTTCAGAACAATAGATGCTGTTGCCCTTTTTTGTAAATAGAATCAATATTTGCTTAAAAAATTTAACTTACAGTCCAGAAAAGTCCCAACTAGTTATATTTATCTACTATTTCCACTGATTTAGCCCTGATGAAGGTTTGAATGGGGGTTTAAGGAATCTTCTTGAAATCAATCACCACGTCTTTGGTGTTTGAGACATTCAGTCTCAGATACTTTGGGGTACTGTTTATAACCGAATTAAAGTAATTCACTTAGTGTGCTTCGCTAAAACACCTGGCTGAAATTTAAATAAAGCATCCAAATAATTTAATAATAGGATAATTTATATGTGCTGCCGTGCCTGTTTGTTGGTTCAAAAGGACTTTCAGCACATTTTCCAGCATGATGAGATATTTGTTTAACTTTGTAGCCATTGTCTAGAAATAATGTTGTAAAAAATATAACCAAATGAACATAATAAAATAACAAACAGGAAATATGAGAGTCTGTTTTGCCAAACACATTTTACACTTTGGCCTTTGTGCGAGTCATATATAATTTACATTAGTGATTATTGTACTTTGAAATGTGGAATCCTTGTGCGATTTTCTAGCACATTAATAAGGTACAGTAGCAGGTTTACCACTGTATAACATGATATTGTGAGATCTCAGAAGCCACACAAGGCTGAGCCTGGTTGGCTCTGGGATGAAAATGTCAAAGCCAGGGTTCTTCATTCCTGGTCATGAAGCAGCCCTGTATCTTCTGGTTTTCACTCCAATTGAGATTTTTATCAATTGAGCTTATTGAACCCTTAATTGAATCAATTGATTTTTAACTCTTATCTGTGCTCAGGACGTACAAGGTCCTACAGAACTTAGAGGTCACACAGATAATTTCCTTTAAATATGTATTTTCCAAGCAATATAATGAGCAGAACTCTCTTTCAAATTGTTTTAAAATCGTTGTTGCCCTATATCTTTCTAAACACCTCTCATTTTTAATTAATGATGTGCTGCATGGCTCCATTGATGAATTTCTATCAAGCCATTTTTTGGTATGGGGCCCTCTTGAGACATTTATCTTATAAAAAAGGGGCGCAGCAGTGGCACTGTGGCTAAGGCTCTATGCCTGCAGCTGGAAGGTTGCTGGTTCAAATCCCATGGCTAGCAGAGAAATCCTACTCTGTGGGGCCCCTGAGCAAGCCCCAAGCTTCTGTCTCCCTGTCTCCCTGTCTCCCTGCCTGTGTCTCATGGAGAGCAAGCTGGGGTATGTGAAAAGACATATTCCTAATGCAAGAAGTTGTATATGACTAATAAAGTGATCTTATCTTACATGTATATCTCAATGGCACCAAAAGTGGTAAATATCAAGAGTTGTATAAGACACATGGATTGAAGGGAAATGAAAATGTTTAGAAAGTAAAGGAAGGAAAAGAAATATATAAAGGAAATGAAAAGAAGGGCAAAATGTTTTTAAAATAAACATGTCCTTCAAAGTTGGGGAGGTGTTGGAGGGGAGAAAAAAAATCAAGTAATTGAAACACTAAACCTAAGTGAGAGGAGAGCTGGAATCTAGCACATAGTGTAGTGCAGGTTACATACTAGTTTATAGCCCATTTCCATTGTTTAAGAACTGAAATAGTTTTCAAAATATAAGCAAACAATTCAATTTAATAACTGAATAAACTGCAGTACTTTATTGAGAAAGAAAACCAGAAGGCACAGGGTTTCCCATTACAGGGAATCACATCTCTGAGGTAAATTAATTTTCTTGTGCGAGTGATCTTGGTGGACAAGTTGGTGACACTTCTCCCTCTGGACCAGAGCCCCACCAAATCCTAGTCTGGGTGCCGTGCTTTTAAGAGGTGCCATCTTTCAGATGAGGCTGACCCAAAGGCATGACAACATCATCTTTCAAAATCCGATGACATACAAGCTCGTCTTTCTAAAATTATTTTCCACCTCGTCTGCTGTGTAGTGAGACTACTGCTGAATAATAGCTGCCTTCGTCCAGGTGGGTGCTGGTGGATGAAATGGGTCCCCTGTTACAGTACATGTAAAATATTTTGGGATAACTAGCACTATATATTATTGCAATATTGTTAGTGGTATTAGTAGAAATAATAGTGTTCTGAGTCAGTAGCTGTATTACATGATGCAGAAATGATTTGCTGAAAAAATGAAGTATCCCACACATTCCTATTATTTTTATAAGAACAAAAAGGGTACAGGGCATTATGCAGATTATTGAATTTTAAACTTGGTTAAGTGTTTTAAATAAGTTCAAGTGTTAACTACTTTCTTTATGTAGCTAGTGTCAATATTTCCAGCTTCAAGGCAAAGGGGGTGTTTGCTGAGATGTGGGTGGGTCCAGTTCAGTGATCAAAGCAATCAGAAAGTGTATCTTGGTTTGCGTTAATTAAGTTCTTGATAAATGTCTGTCAATCAACAGTCCAGAAAGACGCCATACAGTGTAAAATCAGGTCAAGACAGAACAGTGGGGAAGAACAGACCACAAGAGAGAGAGGAGACAGGAGGAAACAGAACATAAATCATGTGCTAAGCGAGAGGTCCGTGTTCTAGATAATCTGAAGACCCGATTACAGCAAAATACTGTATTTGAACCTTGTAGAAATGTCGCTATTCTGTAGTTTTTAGGGAACTTGGATTTTCTGAGTGAAGACTTCCTCAGTTCTTAATAATAATAAAAATTCTTTACACTTATAAAGCACTTTTCTGGACACTCAAAGTGCTTTACAGGTAATGGTGACTCTCCTCCAGCACCACCAGTGTGCAGATCCAGTTGGATGATGCAACGGCAGCCATAGTGTGCCAGCACACTCACCACACACCAGCTATCAGTGTGGAGGATAACAGAGTGACAAAGCCAGTTCATAGATGGGGATTATTAGAAGGCAATGATTCATTAAGGCCAATGGGAACTTTGGCGAGGACACCCGGGTAACACACCTACTCTCTTCGAGAAACACCCTGGGATTTTCAATGACCACAGAGAATCAGGCCTCCATAGGCATTATTTTAAGAGTTGAATACCAGTTCTTGTGACTATGTCCATGATATTTCTAGAAAACACAAAGTTTCAGTAATACCACCAAATTAATAACATTAGAAAGCTCTGTATGGAAACTCACTTTGTAGGAATAACCCTTAATGTAACCAAGCTTAAATTAAGTAAGAGGTTGCTTCATTTAATATGCCATCTGGTGGCTTAATTATACAATGAAGTGATTTTTGCATCAATAAACCCTGATAATGATTTAGGCACATGCACATAAATGTGTAATGGACCCGAAATGCTCCTTATCCTAAAACCTAATGAGCCTAGCTCATCAAAATACCAGTTATTACAACAAGCCTCTCCATTGTAAAGAACAAATTGTATATTGTTAAGAAAATGGTGCTCTACTATATTAGATATGTCTGTCCTTCAACAGGATCTATTATTGTGTACAGGAAAGCTGCAGAGCTTTTGCAATTTTGATTCAGAGTACATACACAGAGAGGTAACAAAAAGACAATATTAGTAGTTCCGATCTTCATTTGTTGTGTTTTTTGTACCTCTCAGTATATATTTTGTTTAATTCTTCAAGTACACATTAATTTGACCATTGTAATCACACTGTCCTAACAAGTGAGATGTTAAGGTTTGTGCAGTGTAACTGCAACTCCAAACTCCAAAATTATATAAACAAGAACAGTACTATAAGAAACAGAGGTATAAAAATCCTTGCCAGTTAAATGCAAACTAAATATATATTTTTCATAGATTTTCAAGAACACGAGTCTTTGATTTTCTTCTAAGACCTGCAATAAAAATGTGTTATTCACAAATTATATTGCCTTCTAGCTGTTTTCTATTCCTGTGAATGAGAAACACATTGGATCCCTTTCTTTATAGGTGGCAAACCTGGCTTGTTCAATTTCCAATAATGAAGAAGGTGTGAAGCTTGTCCGTATGGCAGCCACCCAGATTGATAGCCTGTGTCCACAGGTAAGTGCAGTCCTCTGAAACTATGGTTAAGATCTCAACATTTGTGTCTGTGGCCACTCCCTACATTGTTTGTTCATTTTAGTGTATTCGTCAAAAATCTAATTAAGGTAAGTGTTATCCCTGTCTTCCATGTGTATAATCGTAAATTATATGTGTATAAAAAGTAGAAGTATAAAATAATATCTCAGACAAAAATATATATATATATAACAGTAACTGAGGATATTAAACGATATTGATGATATCCACGTGGATGCAAAACGTGGTAGAAAAAAGACTAACCCACATCTAATTAGCCACATCATGGTCTATACCTGAGCAGCAATGCTGAGTACCTAAAGTGGAAGCAAATAAGTCAACTAAAGCACTTGCACCAAATTAATACAACTGCATTGAGCAGTATGATCACAGTCTTAGTTTAAGGAAAAATAATAAAAAAAGAATCTGTCCATTTCATTTTTGACTAAAGAATTGAGTTTACAAGCCCATTTTGCCTTATTCTTTAAACTCTATCCCAGGAGGAAGGTGGCACTTACAGTAAGTCTAAGCAGTAGAGTTTTGGAATCTATCAAGATTGGGAGGTCACTATTTGCGTATTGTATTGGTTACTGAGAGTTGCTAAATCTTTTTGGGGATACAGTGTTTCTTAGTGGAATGTAAAGAGAAGAGTAGGTACTGGTGTGGCCTTCACGGGAGCTATGCGGTTTATCCATAGGAATATATATTTGACAAATCAGTCTCAAAGTAGTTCAAACTACTTTGTTTGATATAAATATAGGTACAGCATACTTATATTGAATAATGTCAAAACATTCAAGTTAGCTAGCTCTGTCTACAATAAAGATTTAGGAAAGAGATTTAGCTGAGACACAGATAACTAGGTTGAAAGTACTTCTCAGGTAGGTTGATCTACTGTACCACATGGGCATGGTGCATGGTGGCACATGGTGGCACAGTAGTTGTCATTGCTGCCTCACAGGGCTGAGGCCCTGGGTTCAATTCCAGACCTAGGATGCTGTTTGTGTGTTTGCCTGCTTTCCTGCCAGGTGCTCTTATTTTCTCCCACAGTCCAAAGATGTACTGGAGTATCCTGCCTTTCACCTGTTGGTTGCTGGGATAGGCTGTAGCTCCTGATCTGGCTCTCGATCCTGTATTGGAAAAAGCAGTCAGAAAATGGATGGATGTGAATCCATTTACAGCTAGCTGCTATAGCCATAGTAAGACTGTAGTGCTATAGCTTTGCTTGAGTAAAACCAAGAATAAAGTTTTGTCATTTGATCTTCAAAGTGTTATCCCTGCTGCACAGGTGGCTGTTTTTATAAAGTGACCTGTCACTTACACTTGCTCATATTCTGGATACCGATAGCCATGGGGAAAACTGAGAATATTGTAGCTGAAATATTTAACAACAATAAAAAAGACATTTATGAAATGTTGTTCTGAAATTATTTCACTTGTAAAACTTCTTAAGTGCACTTAATGTTCAGCTTTAATGTAAAACTAATTTGGTTTTGTTTTATGAATGACGCTGTATACAGTAGTTGCCCATATTAGTGAGTCATCTGTTTCCTTTTTAAATTACATTTGTTCTAGCATGTTCATAGCTAAACACAAAACAAGTGAATTATCTGCAAAACATCATCGTTTCACTTTCTTTTAGTTGAAAGATTTCGTTATTAGATATAGTTAATAATGGAAAGAAAGAATAAATTAATTTAATGCATCTTGAATTGTATATTAATGAATGTCTGTTTACACAAATCCATGTTTCTTATATTTTATTTTTTAATTAATATGATATTTCATATTCTTTACATGTACCATCAAAAAGTACATCTTTGTTTGAGAAGCAGGTAAAGATAACCTGCTCTTTGAGCTGAACATAAATAGCTAATGAGACTTGTTTAAATTTGCTAACAAAGTAATTGAGCATTTTTATTAACTCCATTACCTGAGCTTTCAGCAGTTCTAATAATTACTCTTGCCTTAAATGCAATAATAAAATGGTAAACCTTTTGCACAGTTTTACAGTTAGAACAGTCAGAAATACTGAAAACACAAAGTAATATTTTTCTTCAGTAATATTTTTTGTTAATCTTCCAGAAGCAAATTGGAAGCTGTCACATAGGAAAACAGAGGCTTTAAAACATTGGCTTTGGAATGATATTGTCTACTTCAAATTGAGCTCTGAAAAGATTCACAAGAAAAAATGTTTCAAATGTCCTCTTTTTGTACTGACGGGTACTGTCAGTGTTTGGCAGAATTTTTGTTTAGATGGATTTCATTCAGAATACTACGAAGTAAAACTACAACAGCTACAAACACTAAGTAGAATTAAATGCATCACAGACCTTCTTAGTATTATCCACGGGCTGAAACAAAATAAATTATTTTACCACTTCAATGACATTGTTACAGTCTGCTTCTTTGTGAGCTCTCAAAGAGTTCCTTTTTCTCTAAAGTGCTGCAATCGGATTTATTCAAAATAGGAGAATGATAATGGTGAAATTGCAGACAGAATGCTTACATGCAAGATTTATAATTCAGTGTCAGAGTCTGTTAGCTCTTCACACTTAAACAAAAGAATACATTGTATGTCGCAGTTGTGAAGTATTTAGAAATACTAAATACTTCACTTAAGATCTGTAATGAAGCATGTCACAAGCCTGAATTGTCAAAGAAAAGTGCTTGTGTGAACTTAGAAAGAATAACTTTTCCCGGCAAGGGCACAATCCATCCTCTTATGAGAACTAAGACTCAGGTCCCGACTACTTGGTCATTAAGGATCTCATGGCACTGTCTGTAGTAAGAAGGGCTGTTAACTCCAGTGACATTGCTAAAGTCCATGCCTTGGAAACAGCTTGCTTGATCAAGTCATCTTGAAGTTGGCCACCTCTTCCTGTTCCACAGAAGCCCACCTGCCTGCTTCCCTTGCTCCCACCCCACCCCTTTCCATTCACAAGTATACTGTTTAAACACGCCTCAGTATTGATCTTTCTGTCCTGTTCTTAACTTTCTTCCTCCCAGCATTCACAAAACTACTTAATTACATAAAACAGTTACATCTATGTCTATTTTAATATTCCAAACCATATTTTACACTATTCATGGTATCTGACAGTACATAATTCATGAACAATTTATGTTTTAACACTGCATAGTCACTTGTCCTTTAAAACGAGGATGGCTTTGTTTGCGTTTCATAAGTCTTAAAAAAAGATAATTCTATTCAACATAACTATTGAACCAAGAAACTCTGGACTGTAATTGCTCTCCTTCTCAGTTTACTTTTCTATCACAACACTTACCCAACAATCTCCAGAAATAACTTATCTGACTGCTGGGAACACATCAGTATACCAATAAATTAATCTTATTATTGTATGGTTAACAAGTGGTTTCTTAGCTTCTTACGGCCAACAGTCAATGTATTAAGAGTATATGGTGTTTTTAGTTCTTTGTTTAGCTCTTTGTTTTTAGAGTGTGCAAAATGATTTCAACGTTAATTCATCCGACAAGCCTCAGTGTAAGTGTGAATATATTGCTTTCCATTTGCTGTGTGGGTTGTGTTGCTTTTCATTAACATAAAACATAATTTACTCCACGTATCAGATCACAAGTCTCTGTTTTCTCCAGCACGCTGGGTCCTATATCATTGCTCTTATTAACAGAGTGAATGAGAAGGCTTAGTAGTTAGGATTTGGTAGACCTGATTCAGCTGCATCCTTCTCCCATTGTCTGTTTAAATGTATGTATTTAGCTAAGTTTTAGTGTACAAGTTTATTAAGCAGTCATAACAATTATACCTCAGAACAAAGTTGCAAGCCTATACCAAAGACAGGAAATACAACATTTCAATAATATTTCAACAAAGGTGAAAGGGCACCACAAATTACTTGATTATGCTGTAGGTTACATTCCCGATTACTTCAAATTGTTGACACAGAACAAGAAGTATGAATAACATTATGTAAACAGCTAAGGTAAGAATTAGTATTGTGTCATAATTTTTTCTAATTTATTATTTTTATTTTGGGTGACAAAATGCTTCATATTGGTGCATGTGAATTATGTCAAAAAAGCCTTAAGTACTGTTACAGGGAAACGATACTGTTTCCCTCTTTTCTTAATAAACAAGATCAGATATACTGTAAATGCTCTTTCCAATTTTAAATATACAACCATAAATCACATCTATTTCCTGATAGCATTCTGTATAAACACATAATGGGAGGGGATTATTTCACCAAATGCCTTAAAATAATTTCCTTTACCACCAATGAAAATAATACTGTCATTTTGTTCTAGATCATGCCAAAATGCTAGTACTGAAATGTGTATGCTTGCTGATGTGACTGAGGGTCAGATTGTGTTAGATTTTTAATAGTGAATTTTATCTTTTATACCCATATAGAATCAATTTACTTTTCTATCACAACACACCATAGAGGACAGAAAAAATGTTTGTTGTACTCTTAAGCAATAGAATGCCAAATCTAGCTTTTGTAAGTGAAATAAGATTTATATACAGAACTTTAAAAATCCCTCACATTTCACAGAAAAGAACATTAAAGATGCCTTTAAATCTTTAAATGTCTTAAATGTCTTTAAGTCTGAATCTTTGAACAACTTGATTTCTATTGTATTTGTTTTGAAATTTTGAAATTGCAATGTTATAAAGTCTACAGAACACTATTTGCATACCTTGTGAAGAAAACACTGCTTCATATCTTTTTAAGCTCTGAGTGTTTGCATAATTATTAACAGCTGAAGCCGTGTGCTATATGCATGTAACATTATGCTCTTATTCGCTGAAAAAACAGAACCAAATTAGAATTTGCATAATCACAGTTTCTGATGGTGGAATGATAAAACTGCAGAAATGAAGATCTTTATTCATTATCTCTCCTTCTGAACTTTTGATTGTCAGTTGGTAACAAATATTTACAACACAAGCCACACAAAAGGTTAATTTCTACATAATTATTTGAATAATTCCTTATCTTTCTAAAGTTTTCTGGATTAAATGTCTTGTTTTTGTGTAGTTATTAAAGAGTTTGGCATGGTAGATCATTGATTTTTGGAGGAGTTTCCACTTTTAAAGGCAGATAGTTCTAAGAATATGATGTAGTTCTACAGTATTTAGGACATCAAGCTATTTATATTTTTAAAATAAAAAACACTTGTTTGATATTGTTTGTTCTATGTATTTATTTACAATTTCTGAATTTGCAATGTGGTTTTCAGCTTGGGAGTTAAATATTTATGTGGATGTAGGTCAGAGTCAGTGTTGACTTTGATAGAATTGCATTGCTTGGAAAATGTTTGTGCTGCCTATGACTTTTTATGCTACACTGTCAACCATACATTTCAAGGTTAGAAATAGATGCCATTTTCACTTTTAGGGGGTGTATACATATATGTCTGATATATTTTTATGTGTTTTTTTTTTCAGAATTACAAATGAGCCAAATAGTACTTTTATTTTTCCCATCATTTTCAGATAAAAATATATATGGTTGCCTATCCATCTATATATGTATCTGTTTGTATAAAGGGGAGTAGTTATTTTCCTTTTAATAATAATAATTGCTTACACTTATATAGTGCTTTTCTGGACACTCCACTAAAAGCGCTTTACAGGTAATGGGGACTCCCCTCCACCACCACCAATGTGCAGCCCCACCTGGATGATGCGACGGCAGCCATAGTGCACCAGAACGCTCACCACACATCAGCTATCAGTGGGGAGGAGAACAGAGTAATGAAGCCAATTCATAGATGGGGATTATTAGGAGGCCATGATTGATAAGGGCCAATGGGAAATTTGGTCAGGATGCCAGGGTTACACCTTACTCTTTCCGAGATTTAATGACCACAGAGAGTCAGGACCTTGGTTTTACGTCTCATCTGAAGGATGGTGCCTTTTTACAGTATAGTGTCCCCGTCACTATACTGGGGCATTAGGACCAACGTGGACTGCAGGCTGAGTGCCCCCTGATGGCTCCACTAAAACCTCTTCCAGCAGCAACCTTAATGTTTCCCAGGAGGTCTCCCTTGCAGGTACTGAGCAGGCTCACACCTGCTTAGCTTCAGTGGGTTAGCAGTTTTGAGTTGCAGGGTGATATGGCTGCTGGTACATTGCATAAAAGAAGCATATGCTACTGATTGTTATGATAATTAACATTTCCCAGTGTTCTTATTCTGTATGGCTACTAAATTGTTCTCCTGTAATGTCTTTTCCATAGGTAATCAATGCAGCCCTTACTTTGGCTGCTAGACCACAGAGTAAAGTGGCCCAGGACAACATGGATGTTTTCAAAGACCAGTGGGAGAAGCAGGTTCGTGTTCTTACCGAGGCTGTGGATGACATCACCTCTGTTGATGACTTCCTGTCTGTTTCAGGTAAAACTGTTCTCCGTAGTCCTGGACTGGGTGTACTTTTATAGTGTCCCAGTTGGGATTTTTTTTCTCTTTTTATTCCGTAAATGATCAATACATTTTAACATCTACAATAACAAATCCTCAAGTAAACACGCAAGAGTTATCCATGCTGAAGATGAGGGAAAGTATTGCAGTAAGGGCTCTTCATCTGCAGATATTTGAGCAAGGTCCGCAATCTGTCCACTCTATGGTTAACTTAGAGCACTGCTGAGTGCTCACTGTGTTCAAACCACCTGTGGTATTTTTTTTTTACTTGGATAAAAGATGTGGCAGCATGAAATTGTGCCATTTAGATGATGCTTATTTTTGTATATCATATTAGGAATGTCCTCGAGGGCAGGAGTCCTGCTGGTTTTACTGGTACTTCACCTTAATTAGCAATTGATTAAGACCTAAAGAAACAAGCGATTTCATTTCCCATCCAAACAATTAGTTAGATTAGGTAATTAAGATCTGAGGTGAAATAAAAACAAGAAACCCCAACAGCCCTTAAGAACTGAAGTAGCTCGCCTCTGTTATACATAGTTTAAATCAGCTCCATTTATTAGCTGATTTAATAAATGGAGCTGATTTAAAGCAGCCATATCACCCTGCAACTCACAACTGGCAACCCACTGAAGCTAAGCAGGTGTGAGCCTGGTCAGTACCTGGATGGGAGACCTCCTGGGAAAAACTAAGGTTGCTGCTGGAAGAGGTGTTAGTGGGGCCAGCAGGGGGCGCTCACCCTGTGGTCCATGTGGGTCCTAATGCCCCAGTATAGTGATGGGGACACTATACTGTAAACAGGCGCCGTCCTTCGGATGAGACGTAAAACCGAGGTCCTGACTCTCTGTGGTCATTAAAAATCCCAGGGCTCTTCTCGAAAAGAGTAGGGGTGTACCCCGGTGTCCTGGCCAAATTTCCAATTGGCCCTTACTAATCATGGCCTCCTAATAATCCCCCTCTATGAATTGGCTACATTACTCTGCTCTCCTCCCCACTGATAGCTGATGTGTGGTGAGCGTTCTGGCGCACTATGGCTGCCGTCGCATCATCCAGGTGGATGCTGCACATTGGTGGTGGTGGAGGGGAGTCCCCATTACCTGTAAAGCGCTTTGAGTGGAGTGTCCAGAAAAGCGCTATATAAGTGTAAGCAATTATTATTATTATTATTATAATTATTACACATGGCACATGCTGTTGTCAGTATCAGAATACTTTTCTCTTCTTTCTTCTAGGGATTCTGTTTTCCTAGCAAGTCACACAATTTACCATTTTTTCCTGCACTTTTTTTGTCATGTTTTTTTTCTGAGCTGAAATATTACGAGATTTCAGGTATCATTGATTTATAGAAAAAAGGCTTTATGTGATTGTGTCAAGCTAAGAGAAAACAGATTAAAATACTAAGCACATATTATGGGAACAATTCCTATTGAAACCCATGCTTTTAGGACTATGATTAATTTTGCCTCTACATTCAGAGTACTATAATCAAACACACAATTTGTGTAGCAAATTAATGTAGCAAATTAAATTTGTTTTCAAACTATACATAAATATTGTAAGCAAATACACCTATATATAATTTTTCTAATAATGTACATGCTTTTTAATCTAAATTGGATTTGACCAGGAAATAGTACTGTGAAATAAATGTCTATGGACATACCACTACAAAATATTTATACACAATTTCCTGCCTAATTACCTGTTCTAGGACTCAAACTAAATTCTTGTGCATCAATGCAAAAAATACAGCTATAAAGATAAGTGGGTCTGGCACATAATGTAGTGTTATTCTGCACTGTGCTGACAACCAGTATTATTTCTACATCTTCTTGTTTTCTTCTGTCTTTACTTGTAACTAAAACATTTAAATTCATTTCACTTCTGAGCTGGCTGTGTTGTTCCATTATTCTTTGATCATAAAAGCATCATTAAATCTCCATATAAGTAATATAATATATACCTTTGTTGCTGTAAATGTCATACGGCATAAAGTAGCTTTGAAAATACATTAAAGTTTTCAGTGAGTTTTTTTATCAGGTTTTAGCAGTATTGTACATAATGGTGTGATTTATTATCTGTGAAGTTGTATTTATCTATATATTTCCTTTCTCAATAAATACCAATATAATCTATTTCATTTTGTTGTTCAAGTGTTTGTTATCCTTAGTCTCTCCTCTTAGCTCTGATCTCTAGCTTTCTTTTTTTCTAAAGAACTAGTCATGTTGACATAATCTTTATAGATCTTTACAGCTATGCAGTCAATTTTCTAATCAGCCTTGTACAATGGTTGCATTTCCTGCAGTGGGTGGCATGGCAGCCAGAGATTTAGCACTGCTAACTCACGGCTCTTGGGTCCTGCATTAAAATCTGGTTTGTGGTACCACCCCCAATATCCTCTGGGATATTTTTCTCTGGGCACTCCAGTTTCTTAAAACCCCATGCTAGCTAGGTTTGATTTCCACACTGCCTTGTCTCACCGGTGATTGATCCAGGTCCCATTAGCCAAATGTAACTTGAAATTTGTATCCTATTCACACGAGGCACATTAGATTGAGCCCAGTGTTTTAAACTGATGATTAAGTGCAGGATTTTTGTGATTTAACTCTGGTGCTGTCACTGTCTTTATGTCTGAGATACTTTTATAACTTATTCTCTCTTGTTTCACTCTATAACATGTTTATTTTTGTGATTGAAGGCTGTGTGACATGAGCTTTTTTTATTGATATTGGTAGAGTGACAAAAGGAAGTTTTAAATGCTTATCAATGTGGTTTGTTACATATAAACACATATAAATGTAAAAAAATCATTTATATTATATATTAAATATTATATAACCACAACTGGAACAACAGTGTTCCAGCCAGGAGCAATTGAAATGCTTCTAGAAAAAAAAAATCAGGGACACTTTCAATATCAGTTTTTAAAGTATGCAACCAAATGTCAAGCCAGTTTGATTTTAAATGGATGAATTTGGTGGTTCAGTATAGGCTTTAGTAATTGTGATGAGAAACAATATCTTCAGGCCTCTGCAAAAGACCTGTTACATCTCATTAAGTGATTTTATTTTATTTTATTTCCGAGTGTTAATGTTTCATATGATTTCAACATCTTGTTCCTTATTTATATAGGGGCTCCCACTGTAAAAGGTTCTTTTTATTAAATCTCCACAAAAAAACAACATTATTATGGTTTAAATCCATAAACCTCTATATCTATATCTATTGTGCTACAGTATTGGGAGGGAAAGGCCTCTTCAAAGTATTGTTTTACACCAAATTTAAGAACAAAAGATATTTAAAAAAACGAGAATAGCCCATTTGGTATTTAGTAGTAAATTAATCCAAGAATCTCATCCCGCAATTTATTAAAGGAAGCCAGGATTTCAGCCTAATGTCTATATAGCTTGTTCAGCACGGCTCTGTTGCTTGTTAAATACTTTCACAACCCTTTTGGTAAAGTAGTGTCTTCTCTTCTGATTTTTAGATGCACTTCCACGTAGTTTCACTTAGTTTCAAACTCCAGTTTGTTTTACACTCTTCGCTGACTTTGTCAATGCCTTTGAGGTTTTTGAATTTATCACCATATGTATAGGTTTAAGTAGTGTTAAATCTTAACACATAGAAAATTATTGTCAGGTGGGCTGTACCACTTACTACCTAACTATTGAGCAACTACTGTATCTGTAAATTTCAAGGACTTAAAAGTGCTATCACCAAGATGAATTTGAATTGGATATACAGTAGTAATGACTTCTGTTTTTCCAGTTTCCATGGATGCTTGGCACAGAGTATGACTACATTGAGAATTTATATTGCATTGTCAGAAACACAATGAAGACAACATTTAATGCTTCAGAATAATATTTTGGATCACACATAAACACTAAACGTGTACTAGGTTTATTCCTTTAAAAAATGGAATGAAATATTTCAGATGACATCAGCATAGAAGCAGAAAAAGACAAATTAATGTTATTAAAATGTCCTAAAGAAGACACATCTTTCACGATAAATACTTAGTTTTCAGAATAGACACCATGAGCATCATTCAAACCATCGAAGCCTTAAAGTAATTATCCATAGTTCATATGAGTTCACAGCTACCTATAATGATATGATGCTATGCTATTTAATATGTTGTTAAAATGACCAAAGAATTAATTTGATTTATTGTAGTACAAGCTTACAAGTAACAAAAGTTGTTGTGTTTTTTGTTCTCTCTAGAAAACCACATCCTTGAAGATGTGAACAAGTGTGTCATTGCTCTCCAAGAAGGGGATGTTGACACTTTGGATCGAACTGCTGGTGCCATCCGTGGTCGGGCTGCCAGAGTGGTTCATATTATAAATGCTGAGATGGAGAACTATGAGCCAGGAGTTTATACTGAGCGTGTTCTGGAGGCTATCAAATTACTCTCTGAGACCGGTAAGTGGAACTAGCTCATGCAACAGTGTATCATCACTGTTGGGTGGTCATTGAACACTAATCAGTGCCACACTTAGTAACAGGCCACATTGTTGACTTTTATTTCTTGTATTTAACCTATAATGTGTATATGGTAGGTAGGTCTCTTTTCAGGCCATAAAGGCCCATGGGGAATGGGGGGCAAGGGCCACCATTTTTCGTGACCATCCGACACTGGAGGTGGAGGTGGTGTGGTCAGCATCACACTCCGGCCAGCCTATTACCCCCAGAAAGGATTAACCCCTGGTACTCATTTGAAAAGCAGGCTGAGTGGACCTGGGACCCATCTGGAAGGAATTGGAGCAAGTTACATTGCTTGCCCCCACCTGGGATTGAACTGGGAACCTTCCAGTCAGGAGCTAGATGTCCTTCCCATCACAGCTCTATAATGTGTATACACTGTGTCAGGATCTAATGGCAGTATAAACTACTTGTTATGATTCCTAAGAATGTTTACAATGTCTTTAGTTCAGAAACTAAAGGCACGTACAGTATATAAGGTAGATATATATTATAAGTCTTGGAATGGAACTAGAAAAATTGCACTGTATTTAAATTTGTCTGACTTAAAAAGGGCAGCAAATCAGTTTGATTCTAAAATCTGATTGTCTTATTTGATGTTCTTTATAAACTGTATAAATGATTAATGTAACGAAAAAGAAGATATAGTGGGGATACAATTTTGTTTCTTACAAGTGTTTTTTGGTTGTTAAGAGAAAGTACATTTAGTTCTCAGTATAATTGAGTATTTTGTTTTATAGAAGTTGAACACAAAAATATCAAAAATTAAGTTAATTTGTTTATGAATCATTGTATTTTGTTTTTTCAGAGTCAGTTGATGAGCATATTACCTACACATTTACAGTATAAACAACTATTGATAAGACACATTTTCGAATAGTCATTCATGTAAATCTGATCAGACTTGCTTCTGGATATCATGTTGTATATTTATCACATTTGTAACCCTTAACCTTTCTTATATATAAAGCTTTCTTCTTAACATTGACCACAGTCAAATTTATAGTCCTGGTAATGCTGACAACAGAGTACACAGCACTAAACCTGAACCACAGATTGCTGACAGACAGTCTACGTACAGCTATGAATTTAAGGTTGTCCTTGAAAAAAAATCAATATCCTAATAGGAATTGTTAATGGATTTTTCCAAGACACTTCTCAATGGCATGCTTAATCTAGGGTACTCTAAAATGGACATATTTACTTGGTTATTAAAGGAATTACTGCTATTAGATAGACTTTCTCATTTTCTTACCAGGGTCATTACATGACACGTAAGGTGAATTTTTCCTTTTTGAGCCTTATTGTTGACTTATAATAAAAAATATAATAATTCTCACCTGACATCTTTACAAGTAACAATGAAAAAGTAAAATAAAATTTAATGTGTCCTAAATTTTCCAGCATCAAAAAGGTCAATTATTGTTAGATTTTCTGTAGAACTTATTCTTAGTTGATATCTTAAAAAAGCAAGCTTTTTATTTTTTCAGTAGGCAGGCCTCACTAAGTATTTCAAAATGTGAATGTTGGATGTGTCTCCATTGAAAACTTCCTTGCTATTAAAGGATTCTCATGCTATTGTCATAAGAATGCGAACATTCTGTATGATGCAGGAAATGCATAAATAAAATTGGACAATTATTTAAAAGGGATGGTAAAACCCTGTATTTCAGTTACAAATGTGTATAGTGAATAGATATCAGTATAGTGAATAGATTGGAACCATCTGAAAGAACTTAACTGCATGTTCATATGTAAAGATACTTGGAATATCTTCTCAGCGGTGAAGGCCTTACCTGCCATTATTGAGAAAAGAAACAGCCGAGTAGCCCCAGGTGGTGCTCCACCCAAGAATAGAAGGGTCCCCCCCCCCACATCATTTGTAGTGGCTTTATTCAAGCATTAGTACAATAATTAACATAAGTAAAGATGTGTCTAAGAGGAGCATTCTCTTCTGCTGAAGCCATTTGAGACAAGTGGAATAACCTCTCCCCTGTATTTGTATTGGTTTATGGATATTTATTCCTGACAATTTTCTATCTGCCCTGACACCAGAAGCTTGAATGCAGCTCCAGTAACCCTGTAAATTCAGTCAGATGGAGAATGTGGTATAGCCTGTTCCCACAGGGGGACGACTGGGCAGAAGGATAATGCTGTGTCCATTTTTGCTTTTGCTGCTAATGCACGGGATATGGAGATGTGTGACAGGAAAGGATTGATTGAATGCGACTGCAAAATTAAAATATTTAGATTTTAATGCAATATATAGAGGAAAGAAATCATGTTTGTTAAATTTAATTTCATGTAGTGTCTGTTTTTGTGGACTATTTTTATATGCTTTTATAGATCTAAACTCGGCATCTTAAGACAGCACTGCATTACCAATGAACAAGAACTATGTTGTGCATGGCAATCTGGGAGCCTTTTCTTATTTGTCTTCCGGCATTAAAGGTATTATTTTTTAATGTCGTGAAAACATTTCACCCATTACAAAAGATTAAAGGCAATTAAGTGTGGTATAGTTCTTTTATTTGTTTTTAAAGCCTTAAATGGCCTAGCATCTGTATACCTTACTGAATGACTGTCTTTATATGTTCCTAAATGTTACCTGAGATCTGCAAATACTGGCCTTCTGCAAATACACGTTTGAAATGCAGAAATAGTATAGAGGCTGCTTTTTGTTTTTATGCTTCTAAATTATGGAACTCATTCCCACTCTTTATAAAGCAGTCACGGACGGTATTATAAAAATACTGTTATAAAAAAAAACTTTTGAAAACAAATCTTTTTAATTTAGGTTTCAGTTAAATTCGTTTTTCTGTTTTTTGTACTTATCTTTCTGTTTTATTTATCCTTTATTGTTTTTATTTTATTGTTACTTTCTTAATTTTTTTCTTCTTTAAGCATAAATTGACATTTGTGTTGCTTTACTTTATTATTGTGTTTTTTTACAACCTAATGTATATCTTTTAATTTTAAGATTGTATTTTTACGCTTGGTTTGTGAAGCACTTTGAGCTGCTATTTGTGTGAAAGGTGCTCTATAAATAACGTTTATTGTTATTAAAACAGCACAACTACCTTTATAAGCTGGATAGTGTCTGTGCTAAATGAATGTAGAAATTAATTTCAATAATATGCAAACTATATTATGTTGAGGTTGGTTATTTTTTCATATTTGTTTATGGATTATACGATTGCAATATGTTCACTCCAAATTTCCAGTACACAGTGTCTGGGAAATACATAATACTTTTTGTCCTTCTATTGTAGTTATATAATTCCTAGATTGCACATACTGTACACTGCTTTATCATGAGAAATAACGTCCTCTGTGACCGCAAATACTAGATCTGGCAAATTCTTACTCACAGTCTTCACTATGGTGGTATCATTTTGAACAGCATACACAATATAAATATTGCCCCCTTGATAATTTTCTCTTCTGCTTGTGAGGAAATATCAAAAGACTAGCCTTTCAGTTTGAAGTTAAACTAGTAGTAACAACTAGTAACTTTATGAAGAATACCACACTGACAGAATCAAGGTTAATATGTTCTTAAATACTATTGCTTTTCCTTTGTAGCACAAAGTTAATTATAGAAAAAGAATATGTATGGTACCCAAGCAAATTGTTAAAAAGAAATAATTGTCTTATTCAATTAAAGAAATGTAATTTAGATGGTTTGTATGATCCTCACCTACATGTGATTGAACCTTAATTTGATTAATCATTGTATTTCATTGTTCCAAATAATGTAAAGAACTATGATAATAGATTCACATTTCACAAGATTTAAAGATTCAATCATGAAAAAGTGCATTCTAAGTAAGTCATGTTTAATTTCTTTCATCAATTCTAAATTCAGATGAATAAAATTGCTCTATACCACCAGGAACTTAACTCATTACCAGCTTAGAGACGATTTAAACACTTCGATTTAAGCCTTTTGCAATTCCCAAAAGCCTGTTTTACGCTTTTCTGGAAAGTAGATTAAAATTTGCTAAATGAAAGACAGACTTTGTAATACCTTTTGTATTTATCATATTTTTTCATTTATTTAATAATAAAGAAGTTTAGCAAATTCTGCTTTTTGCCGTTTTACAGTCATACAGTATGTAAGCTAATGTCTCAACACATATAATAGCGGAACCATATCTTCCAAGACTAAACAATAGAACCAGTGCATTTAGTTTTTTTTAACCACCTGTGTTATTTATATTATGCATTCCTTATTATACCAGGTAAACCAATAGAGAACGTCTCATTCACAGTGATGACCTGGAGATCCATTTATATTGCAGGGAACTTACTAGAGCATTTTGAACCACTCAGGGGTAAAATAACAAGGAATTCACCCCACCTGGAATTCAAACCCACGACTCTCTGTTTCAGTGCCCTAACCGTAACCCGTGCTTCTATCTAGTCAAATATATTTTAACTGAATACAACTACATATTATTTACATTAAATACAAGAAATATAAATCATCTTAACATTTTAACAGATGCTCTGTGGAAATTTCACACTTATGCAGGATAAAGTGAGTGCTTTATCACATTTCTCAATTTCTAAAATCTGGCAGCACAACAGGGATAAATAATAAATACAAGCTGTGGACAGAACAACTTGTGTAATAAACATTAAAACATACTAATTCATCCTTCCGGCCTGACAATATAATTAGGCTATATAATTGTATTGTGATTGTCAGTATTGGTACAATAAAACTATTACAATTAGCTGCTGATTCTTGAGAGACTCTCTTTTGGGTCACAGAGATGTACTGTAAGAGTATGATTTTTGATTTTGCTACTTATAATGTTGTGTATATATACTGTAGGAAATATTTTCATTCCTTCTATGAAATACAAATTCCCTGAGAACACATGGAAATCTGAGTTCTCGAGTAAACAGAATAATGTGTTTTGTCATGAGAATAATTAAAGAAATTCAGTACAAATTATCTTAGTAACCACATGCCAGCAGTGTATTCACATAGTCCCAGAAAATATATTATAGTATATTAATAGGCCTCTAAAGAGCTTTAACAGTGTGTTCTGACTGTGTCAACCTTTTATATTTGTAATTGAGTTCAATATGTAGTTTATTTTTTGAAAGAAATCTTTGGTTCATGTTTTATTTAAGTACTGTACGTAAGTTTTTTATGAAACTTTCTTCAAACACTAATATACAAGTATTACAGAATTTAACCATATCATCCATTAAAAGAAAAGAAATCCAACATTTTCCGTAGCTGATGAGCATTTGTTTTATGATTTCAGGAGGCTGTAATAATACATTTCTTGTTTTAGCTTTAAGGAACATCGAGCTGCTTTAGTTTCTCACAAAAAAGTCTTCAAATTGGGATATCAAGCCATTTCAGCAAAAGTCCATCATTAAAAAATTGGCCCTGCTTTGAATGCTGATATACAACTTTCCTGTTTGCTTCGTTTGATCTCTCTGTAGGAATGACAAGGTGAAATAGTTAATTGCCTCATGAAGGGAACTGTCCATGCATCACTGATATTTCCTGTGACAAGTTGTATGGCTTGGTTCAAAGGTGTCAGTGACAGAAAATACGTTTTAAACGAATACACAGAGAAAGAGTGCATGTATTTAGTTAAATCCTGTGCTTTGAAAATGTGGTTGCCATTTATAATATTTCTGCATCAATGTGTTTATGCCGAAGGGCAGGGAAAACAAACTTTGAAGGATGTGTGTAATCCTCTTTTTTTGGCTTTCTTTCTGTATCTAGTCATGCCACGTTTTGCTGAACAAGTGGAGGTTGCAATTGAAGCATTGAGCACAAATCCCCCGCAGCCGTTTGAAGAGAATGAATTCATTGATGCTTCCCGCTTGGTGTACGATGGAGTTCGTGACATCAGGAAAGCTGTTTTGATGATAAGGGTACGTAGGTCTTCTGTAACATAAAATCCTGTTCGCACAATTTTGATTTCCTTACTTTGAGTGTTTTGTTTTTGCATCTACATTATGAGTAAAAAGAACACAAATGGTGAAATATAAAGCATGCTACCCAACCTGTGTTAGGGATCAAGATTTCTGACAAAGGATTTCCAGACTATGCCATGCACTGAATAGTTGCTTCTGGTAACAGGTAGGTTAATCTCTGGAAAATGATGCATGAAAATGGATGTTAATAAAGTTACTGACTGAATCCTCTAGGACTTTTGTGTAAATTCGATCATTGAGTAAAAAGGTCATCATACATTTAATTGCAGTTTAGAAATTAAGTTCCGATGAGTTTTCAAAATTTTGTATGTGTCCTACAGTACATGACACATTTCTATTTGACAGCTACTGTACATCAGCCACATTCCATACACTGATCAGGCAGCATTGAGCTAGCTAGTACCATCGAAAAACTTAATCGTCTGAGGGACGTGTCACTTCATTTTGATCTTAGAATTAAATGAGACAAGTAATCTAACAACTGTACTTCATATTTTGCATTGTAATTGCAGTATCTCATTATCTGTTTATGCAGTATGAGTCTCCCAAACGCTCCCTCTATTTCCTCTGAAAACCTAGTTTGGCATAGCATTCACTGTGATCATTTCTCTAGTACTTGCTTGTACGATCCCCCACAAATGAGAGCACCATCTCTGTCCTTAAAAGCATATTCAGCCATCCTTGTGGGGAAAATATTGTTTCCCCTGTGTTAAATGTTAATTAATGGTTCTCTGCCTTAAGCATTGTGAAGAAACATCAAATGTGCTCTGTACAAATGGGATGAAAAGCACTATTTAAGAGCAATAAGCTGTTCTATAGTAAGAAAAATAACTGGAGGCTACGCATCTGCTCTGTGAAAGAGAACACAGAGCTTCCTATCCTCCCTATCTCCTGTTTTTCCTTCTTTAAAGACATTAACATTTTTGCAGAAACTTGACTTTTCAGCCAGGATACATTTCCATTTGTATTACCTATCTTTCTCAGATCCTAAGCATCAGAAAATCAGAATAAACTTCTCATCCATATGAAGCTTTTTTGTTGTGGAGGTGTTTTTATTTATTTTTTAACATTGCTTGTAGGTTCACATCTAACCCAGGGTATTAAGCATGCTTTTGTTTTTCCAGGTTTGATTACTATAACGCATGGCTTATCGATATTGTCAAACATCTTCACTAATTGCATCATGTTTAGAATTATGCTCAGTTTTGAAATACTGCTGTTCTCCTTTTAGTGCCTGAACAGTTTGGGTCATTACTAAATTAGCAAAATGTTAACTTTCTATACATCTATACATGACTGGGGCTCTCTGGACTTAAAACTGTCTTAAAACTCATTCTTTTGTTGTGCTTTGATATGGAATATTATTAAAGTAGCTGTATAAAATAAATCATTTTAATGCAGAGGCTTCTTGCTTAAAAAAAAACTTCTCTGTTAGTTTTAAAAGCTTTTCATAAACCTTTAACTATTTTGTTCTTATAGTGTTTTAGAAATCTCCACTGGCATTTTTTTTGCTTACGCTTTTTTTCTTCAAGGTCATTCCGTAATATTTCAATGTGTTTTAGGTCAGGTTTGGGAATGACATGACATTTATGTTGGCCACACATATTTTCCTGTCAGGGCCATCCCATAACATTTTATTGGGTTTAAAGTCAGAGGACTGGGAAGGACAGTGCTGTACATAACCTGGTTATGTTCTTCTGTTTTGTAGTAAGTCTTAGGGGCAATAGAAGAAAAGAAAGTTTACAAATGAGCTACCTGTATTCAGCCACTAAAACTGTAACTGTAACAGAAGGATCAGCAGCCATATCACCCTGCAACTCACAACTGGCAACCCATTGAAGCTAAGCAAGTGTGAGCCCGGTCAGTACCTGGATGGGAGACCTCCTGGGAAAAACTAAGGTTGCTGCTGGAAGAGGTGTTAGTGGGGCCAGCAGGGGGTGCTCACCCTGTGGTCTGTGTGGGTCCTAATGCCCCAGTATAGTGACAGAAACACTATACTGTAAACAGGTGCCGTCCTTTGGATAAGACGTAAAACTGAGGTCCTGACTCTCTGTGGTGTCTGAGATCCTGACTCTCTGTGGGAGTCTCTCTGTGGTGACTCCCAGGGTGTTTCTCGAAAAGAGAAGAGGTGTAACCCTGGCGTCCTGGCCCAATTTCCCAATTATTATTTCCCAATTTCATGGCCTCCTAATAATCCCCCTATATGAATTGGCTACATTACTCTGCTCTCCTCCCCACTGAGAGCTGATGTGTGGGGAATGTTCTGGTGCACTATGGCTGCCGTCGCATCATCCAGGTGGATGCTGCACATTGGTGGTGGTGAAGGGGAGACCCCATTACCTGTGGAGTGACCAGAAAAGCGCTATATAAGTGTAGGCAATTATTATTATTATTATTATTATTATCTCATGCAACTGGGAAGTGCGGTGGTGCAGTGTTTAGTATTGCTGCTTTGCAGCGCTGGGGTCCTGGAGTTAATCTGGACCTGGGGTGCTGTCTGTATGGAATTAGCATGCGTTTTCTTCGGGTCCTCCACATTCATAAACATACTGGTAGGTTAATTGCCTTCTTGGAAAATTGGCCATAGGTGTGAGTGTGTGCATGTCTGTGTCTGTGCCTTGCAGTTGACTGGTATCCCCTCTAGGGGGGTACCCAGCCTCCCCCTCTGAGTATCCCCTCTCACTCCCCCTCAACCCTGAGTTGGAAAAAACAGTTAGAAAACGGATGGCTGGATCTCTTTCAACCATGTCCTAAAGAAATCTAAAGCACTGGCTTTTGGGTAGATTGTATCTGACTCCCACAACCCTTTGTGTAAAGATGTCTCCTCTACTCAGTCTTAAAGACACATTCCTTAGTTTCCACTTAGTTTGTCCTGTAGTAATAAATTCTGCTAGGGTGACTATTTAATTACCTCCCTTCTCTACGGCAGTCCAATTTGTGGTTGTTATACCTATTGTACAAATAAAATCGAACAATATTATGGATTTATGTATTTTTTCAGCTTAGCTGATCCCTTATTCAGAGCACCTTGCATTGGTGACAAATGTGCAGTACATACAGTATGGGTGTACTTTTATAAGGAATATACAAGTGCAATTACTGTATCTTTACTGGTATCGTGGCTTACTCAGGAATGAGAAAAGACACTTGGTGAGTGGCTGGTGCAGTGGCAGATATTAAGTCCAGGAAAACTGTGGAGTGTAAGAGGTGCTGCCTGAATATGTGTGTCTGGAGGAGATTCTGAAATGCAGTCAGGGAAGCTAAAGTCCTGATATCCCTAGTAATTCATAATTTTATTTTTAGTGTTATATGCTGTTGAATTATTACTGTTGTTTTTCAGATTTTATTTCATAGCTGATTGTAATACAATGAAATCAGCGTTTCAGGCATCCTTGCCTTCTAGCATGTTCACGATTCAGCTTCTCCCATTTTGTGGTTGAGACTAAGAGATGTAGTGGTTTCCATCTGAAAGGAAAAAGAAGTTGAAAAAAGATGAGGTCAAATGTTACATTTATTGGTTATGAAATATGAACAAGATAAGAAGACCATTAGCTATGTCAGAACAGTCCTGCCAAAATAATTTGTGTTTGGTTTATATATATTCCCCATCATTCTCTCACAAACAAGTTTTATTTTACCCATGCCATGTAATATCTTATTTAAGATGTGTAAGTGCTTGGAAATGCAGTAAGCCATTTCAGAAAAGACCTTTAAAAAACTTAGCTTAATAAGTAGAAAGAGCAAGTCACCCCTCTGGTCCATGTAGTTTTCTTGAAAAGTGTGTGAAGTTTTAATAGTTTTTATATCCCACTGATGCCGGCCTACAATTTACCAATAAGCAATATTGAAATGCTTAATCATTTTTCAAAAATGCTTTTTATTGCATGTAAATGCTGAACACTGGGCACAGTTTTAATACATTGTGTGCAGAGTTAGAATCATGCCCAGCAGTTATGTAAAATGTTTCTATGGAGGGTTTTGACCGAGGAGTAACATTAGTGTGTGTACTGCAAACAGTGAAGCAGAGGTTAATTCCATGCTGAAAAGCAGAAAGGGACAACATTACAGCTGTTCAGACTTCTTCAGGTGTCGCACAACAAAAGCACGGTATCAACCTTTACTTGTTCCTTTGCAGCTAATATACACTGACAACCCACCAATCAAACTTGTTCCTATGCAACTGTTTAGTCAGCTATATTACTACATTATAGTGCATGAATTATGGAAAATGTAAGATGTATTACATGTTGGAAGCATTGGATTTCTATCAATTCTTGTATTTTTAATTGGCTCGTAAACTAATGTACAGTACATGTCTAATGTACATCAACTGCATTTAATTTAATCAGATTGAGATGAACTAGGAAGGCTATTTTTACATTTAGAGACTATGAGCAGTATGTATTTCCAAACATTTTCTGTTAGGAAAATGTTCCAAGGTACTGTATCTCCAGGTGGCAGGAGGTGATATCCTTGTAAAAATAAAGATTATTTTTATAATTGTTATATGTTATACCATTGTTGCAATTAACAAAAATATAAAATTAATATTCAAAATATATTTCAGAATAAGAAAATAATGCTTATAAAAAACAATACTAAATCCCAAAGTACAAATTAGTAAAAAAGTACGAAGAAAGTGGAAGACTTGACCATGACTTGGTTGAACTATTAAAGCTCATATGATCTGAATCACAAACAAAATTGATTTTCAATCTAAAGAATAAACTTTTATGCTACAATACCTGGATCATGTGGTTAAGTAACTAATTGAGAGAATGATTGACAATCTAGCCCATGTTGGTTAATTGGTTAATGAAGACCCCTGGGCAAGGACACCAAGAAGTCCTTGAGATCATTACATTTTCAAGCAAAAGCATTTTCAATGCAGGACCTGTTCCCTGTATCACATATTAAAAATTGTGGGATCCTGTCAA